TATATATATATATATATCCTATTTTGTATATACAGATACAAAATGGTCTTTCATTTGTATCTCCTTTTTTGTTTAATTTTGTCAGAGATGGATATTCCATTGCCATTTAAATATTGTAGGTGCATGAATTCAGTAAAATAATCCAATATAGTCCAGTAGTCCATAAAAGTAGATTATCCATAGGACTGGAATATCAGAAGTTGTTGTCTTGAGCCCTTTACAGCTCAGCATATTAGTATGGCTTTACTTTTCATACCTCGTTTTTATGCTTTTCTGCTGGATGATTAAGACCAAGATAGACCAAGACCTATATAACAAGAAATGTAACTTTTGTATCTGACAAGGTCAGTTAAATCCCCTCAGGATTTATCCTGAAACCCTGAATTGCAGTTTATAGATCCTTTGTGAGTGTCAGCCAAGTGGATGAGTCACGGCCATTGTTTGGCCAATTTGCTCTCTGTAAAAGCCTGAGAGAATGTTTTCTCTCCATGTGACTCTCCTTAGGCACACTTTACATCATTGATCACTTTCCTCTGTGGCCTCATAGTCTCCTCATAGTAAATTTGGGACATCACTGAGTTACAGGATGTTACAGTATAGGTTCTCTTAAGTCCTGAGTCCTCACTGACCTTGAAAGGCTGGGGCCAAGATGTTGGCTGTCCTTGTAGCCCTTCTTTTTCTCTAACTTTCACTCTGCAAACTTAAGTTGTTAACCCTCCAGAAGAGAAGCTGAATGATATTATTACCCTATAACATATTGCCTTGCTACTCTCTGCTCACCATGAACTGTTTCTGCTATACCACCTTGCCTTGGAGCCAGCCAATTATAGGCTGAAACCTCTACAAACTATGAGCTAAATAACTCTTCCCTCATTTAACACTGGGTGTTGCATATTTTGTCTCAGCAATGAGAAATATAACTAAGACAGCATTTGGTAGTCCAAGTGGGGCCATTGCTATGACTATACCTGACTGTGTGGCTTAGAAGCCTTTGGGACTTGTCTGTGGGAAGAGTTTGGAAAGGTGTGGAAATTCCATCTGAAAAGGTATAGCTGAAACACCTAAGGCTGTACTGGCTGGGAGATTCTGGTCAGAGCTCAGAAGACCAGAATGCTGATAGAAATCCTGCTGATAAAGACCATGCTCAGGGGGTTTCTGCTAGGAATAAGGACTACACAGGCTATTGGTCCCCAGATTATGTGTGGTATTTAATGGCAGAAAGTTTGTTTGCATGTTGTTCATGTCCAGAGGCTACATGAAACTGAGATTAAGGGTGACAGACTAATCTTGTAGAAGAAATTTCAAGTCAGTCTAATGTTGAGGCAGTGGCATGGCTACTATTGAAGATTTTAGCCAAATTTATGTTGATAAGACCAAAGAGCCAGTAGAATGATTAAAAATTTTGTGAGTCTGGCCAGAAAGAAAACCCCAGCAAGGTTGCAGTCTACAAAGATGGAACAGAACCAAAAATGGGCCAAGTATTTCAGAAAAATACAAGAAAGATGGCTTGAGGACACCAAAAGAACCAGCAGGACTCCAGCCTTTATAGCCTTGCAAAGGAAGACTTTACTTTGAGAAGGTAGCCCCAGAGTATCATGTTCCAGAATGGCAGCAGCCTAGAGAGGTTGTTCCTCAGGATTTCCTTCATAGGCACTCGACCACCACAGCCCAGAGAGAAGTAAGCCTGGCTACTGGCGTAGCTGGTGGCATCCACCTGGTGCTGGTTTTAGGAGCATGCAGACTACAAGAGTTGTGGGGTCAAGAAGTCTTCCACCCAGATTTCAGACATGGCTTGGGAGGCCAGGCATTGTGCCCTGAGAGGGCAATGTGTGAAGATGTGGGTGTGAAGCCAGAGGTGTAGTAGACACCACAGAAGTTTGGAGGATCCAGGAATGCAGGTTAGCTGAGGAAAACAGAGGAGGAAACAGAGCTGGCCCAAGAGGGAATCCGTGGTAGGTACAACCATTGGCAGGGCCAGAGGGTGAAGCTAGTGAAGGGCTTTACAGTTCACATCTTGCCACAGATAGCTGGGGAAGCTGGATATGGAACTATAGGACTTAATGTTTGCCCTCCTGAATTTTGGTCTGGTCTGCATTTTGCTCTGGTCTCATTCCTTTGTATCCTCCTTTTTGTACCTTTTAGAATCATAATGTCTATCTTTTGCTAGTGAACGTTGAGAGTGTTCAACTTCCTTTTCATTTATACAGTTAAGAGTCTGCCTTCAATCTCAAAAGCATCTTTGGACTTGGACTTTTCAGCAGTGCTGAAACTGTCAGAACTTTGGCAACACTTAGAGATGGACTGAATTCCTTTTGTATAAAGGAATATGCATTGGGGGGTCCAAGGGTGGAATGTTATGGCTTAGGCCTAGATCTCCCTACAAAGCCTCATGTGATTCATAGGTAGGGCTTTTTCAGAGATGGATGGATCATGTGTGATGCTGGGATTGGTTCACAGTGCAATGCTAGAATCAAGGACTCTAGGATTAAGAATGTGAGTGCTACCCACCCTAAAGGTAGGTGGCTTAGATAAGATAGCAGGGACAGGAAGAACTGCAGCTGTCCCTTGTTGCTTTGCTACCTTCTGCCCACCGTGAACTGTTTTTCCTCTGCGATGCCCCTCTGCCAGGCCACCCTGCCTTGGAGCCAGCTGATTATGGACTGACACCTCTGGAAACTGTGAACTAAATAAACCTTCGCTCACTTAACTTTGGGTGTTGGGTATTTTGTCTTAGCAATAAGAAAGGTAACTAAGATACCAGGTACACCTGTTTGCCTGTTAGAATGGTGCTATCATGTGACTATAACAAGCGAAATCTGCAGTTGATAACTGACATTGTCTTCCAGGTTTTTGACAAATTCCTCATTTGGGGATTTAGAGGTATTTCTGATTTTACATGGGGCGTGAAACAATAAATATATTTACACAGTGCTACTTTGAATTCAAATGATTCAAATAAGACTATACAGTTACCATTTCACAGATAAGGAAACAAGGTGAAAAGAGGTTAAATAACTTGCATAAAAGCAAGTTATTGTTGAGCAGCTAGAAAATGACTCTTGACCACCAGACTGGCTCTGTGATCTCTCAGGCTAGACCTGTGTCAGATGATTAGGGTCAGCTTGAATATCCATCGAGGCCTGACCAGAAGTGACTCTACAGAAAGCTTCATGCTACTCCAAAACATCTCCTTCATGACCTTCAAAGTTGAGGATTCATCGTTTCTCAATTCCTGGATCTGCAAGTGTGGCTCTTTCTATACCACTGTGAGGGCTCATGTAGTCCCCTAGTTTTCTTCCCCTACCTCCCATCTGGTCCTGGGTGCTCTTTGGGGAATGGGGTGTACAGAAAAAAGGAGCACAAGTCCTGCCCTGGCCACACGAGTGGACCTATCCAGTGTCAGTCTAGCGGCACAGTTATAGGACTTAGACTGGACAAAGCAGCAACCACATCTCTTCTCCTCCAGATTCCCGATGTCTGCCTCAGAAATGATGACAATGAACCACACCTTCAGTAGGCATCCAAGCTCTACACTGTGGCACCTAGCACACACACACACACACACACACACACACACACACACTTACACACATTGCACACACTATGTCTCATTTGCCCCCAGCCCTTGATGACATAAGCACCATCTCATTGATCCATTTATCTTTGTATTACTTGGCACAAATGAACCAGAAGTCTCAAAGGTGTAGGGCAAAGGCAGTGCCTCATCCTTGCCCCAGAACAGAAGGAGCAGTGTAGGTACAAAGGCCAAACTTCTCTAAGACCTTCTTCAGGTAGAAGTTGGCAGAAATACAACTCAAACAAACGTAAGTGAAACCACTTAATGCTTTTACATTTCTGGCCATATGTCAGACTTTTTGCTAGGAGCATTAATCCTCATAATCTTCTCTAATTTTAGAGAATAAAGAAGCCAAGGGAAAGAGGATATGTAACTTGTAAAACATCTTGGTCTGTTTTCTGTTACTATAACAAAATACCTGAGACTACTTTATAAAGAATAGAGGTTTAAGCCTATTTTGATGGTGCACATCTGTAATGCCAGAACTCTGGTAGGCTGAGGTCATTTGAGCCCAGACTGACCAATGTAGTGAATTAGTGAGATCCTGTCTCAGAATATAAAGGTGGGGGGAACTGAGGACATTGCTCAGAGAGAAGGTTCTGAGTTCAAGCTCCAGTATGACAAAGAATAGAGGCTTGTGTAGCTCATGGTTTTAGGGGCTAGGAAGTCCAGGAGTGCGGCACCAGTCTCTGGTGAGGGTTTCTCCTTGCGTTATAATATGTAGAGAGCATCACCTGGTGAGAAAGAGCAAGAAGGCTAGCCTGGGCTGCTCTCTCTTCTTATGAAGCCACTAAGGCCGTCATGGGGCCCCATCCTCATGACCTCATCTAATTACCTCCCAGAGGTCTCACCTCCAACTGCCACTAGTATATGAATTTGAGGATTAAGTGTTCAACAGATGACCTTTTAAAGGACACAAGCCATGACAAGCACACCCAGCTAATCTGTGGGATGTGAACTCGGGCAGCTGTGTTGAATGAGTCTGGTGGCCACTGCAAGACTTTGGACCACTTGGAATATGGCCAGACTGAACTGAGAAGTGCTGCAAGTGTGACTACACCACTGGGCCCCACAGGCTTAGCGTCACTTACAGAACATAAAATGTCACAATAATAATTTTTGTAATGATTGTACGTTAAAGTCATGATATTTAGCATGTACAATATCAGGCTAAGTAACACACTGGAATTCATTTTGCCTTCTTTTTATGTTTAATGCATTGGTGAGATCCTCTGAAATGACTTGTGTCATTTCCCTAGTGGCCTGTGGCGTTTGAACACCCTCCCCCACCACCTTGACCTGCCACGTGGAGGCTGTCCCTCTGGAGAAGCTGGAACCTGGAATTCAAGCACACTCTGGCCCCTTCCCTCCCCCTCACATCCTGAACAGCAGCTGTATCCTTCTCCCTCTCTGCAGTCCCTGGTCTCCACGTTGCATGGAACAGCTGCCACGGCTATGGGCTGTGGGCGGGTACAAAGCTTGATGGCTTTGGCTTGGAGGCAGCTGACACTCAGCCCTAGGCTTCCTGGGGCCCAGTGGGTGGGTCCTACTGCCCACCACATTACATGCCATGCTTGCTGACTTGAAAGCACTTGGGTGGATATATCAGAAGTTCCGATTGTGCAGCTTTCACTCCAAGGCCAACCTGCTGTGTGTTTGCAGGAATGCCTGCTGAGACAGCCTGCAAGATCCTGGCTCCTGAACCCTCTTTGGGTCAGAATTTCTCCTTGGACCTCTTTTTCTTTTGCTTTCAGCAGAGCCAAAAATAGGGAGAGAGGAAGAAAGAAAATAGCTGATCAGTGTTTCCCCCTGGAGGCCTGCGGCATGAGGGCTCTAGGACTTTTAATACTTTGTTATTTACTCTCTGGATACGGAATGGTTTCCATATACACCCCCATCTTGGAATCCCAGGAAAGGGGGCCCCACGAGGGTACTGTGTGGGGCTGCAGCTGGCCCTTCGCCTCCAGTCCTCCATCTCCTTAGCTTTTCAGAGAAACTGGAGAGGGCTGCTTCCAATTTGTTTCTTGGAATTTGGAGAGGGCAGGGTGTTTTCCATTATAGAATTCTTACTCCCATTAAAGTGGGTTTTCAGCAAGCTTCATCGGTGAGCAAGCTCTGTCTTGTCCTGACTAGCAGACTTGTCACTTTTTACTCCAAATAGAATAGTCCTGTTGGGTCAGGTTCAGATGTCCTCTTCCACCAGGGTGAGGTGTCCTCCTGAAACCCTCCAGGAGCTCCTGGGGAGGCCAGCACTGTGACCCCTTGGCTCACCTGCATTCCAGTTTTGGACAGGGCTGTAACTTCGATGTTTTGCTTTCACATTCATCATGTTAAATCTCAGAACAGTCTGGTAAGATAAGTGTTCTTATCCTCATTTTACAGGTGAGGAAGCCAAGTCCAGTTCTAATGCAATGTCACAGTCCCATGATGACCAGTAAATTGCAAACTGGTACTCAGGGGCTTCTGAATCCAAGGCCAGTTATTACCCAGGTCTCCTCAGTAGCCTCATGTGACTTTGATGTCTACGTATTTATCAGAATATCTTGTTTTTGTCCTGGAGATTGATTCCAAGGAGCACTAAGCTACCCAGCCTGTTGGACACCAGGTTCTCATGAAGCTGCCCAAGCTGGCCTTGAACTTGCCTCCGCCTCTCAGATGGCTGGGGTTACAAGCCATCACTTGAGGCTGATATCTTTTGTGATTCTGTTGATACTTTAGAAGAATGACAATTTTAAGTCAAGACTGTTTAACAACTGTGTGTTGAGAATGCTGTATGTGGGCCCTGGCCAGGGTCTGGTGGTACAGGAGAGAGCAACAGTACAGCCTCCGCTTTTCTGGACTTTACAGGAGGGATAGACAGTCAAGAAGCCAAAAGCAAGGAAATCCAAGACCACAGATTGGGCCCAGGGCCTTCCCAGGAAGAACAGGCTGTATGAGCAGGAGCAGGGCGACCTTTCTGAGATGAGATGGGAACGGAGGTGAAGGGTGAAGCAGACAACTCTGAGGGGTTCTGGGGCAGGGTGAGAACAGGGTTTGCGGGCTAAGCTCTGTCCAGCCAGTGAGTTTGTACAGCGTCAGACTCCATGCTCAAGACTTTGAATGTAATCTCATCACTCCCACAAACCCCGTGGCTTGCCAGACAGGCGCTTATGCCACTGAGCGATCTCCCCGGCCCTTCCCATGGTTCTTAAACATTGAGTTAAGCATTGTTTTAAACTTCAAATAAAATAGTCATTGGAGCATAATTTATGTGATTAAATCTCCAAGCAGAGGTTATGCTGCTTCCAGGCTCCAGAGCCCCGTTCAAGGGCCAGACAAGTGTTCTGCGGTATTGTATCTACAAGGGCAGACCACACTCCCAGGAGATAACACAGCCCCACTTCCGCCCTTCTGGTATCACCGCAGAGCATCATGCCCCATGGGTCAGGGGCAAAGGCGGGAAAGAGAAAAGCTGGTCCCTGGACAGCAGACTGGGCTGCCGCACCCTGGCCCCTGGAACAGCTCTCAGAGAACAGGCACACGTGTGAGCCATTAGCCGCTCTCCTGAGCGGCGAGCAGCCCAGGACTGGGCATGTGCAAGCCAGGCTCAGAACTCACCCACCCGCAGTTAGCGCCCCATGATTCCATTCCTGGGGCTTAACCAGCCAACAGTTTTCTCTTTCAGCCAGAAGGCGATAACAAAGCCTTTCCTATCCAACTCACTCCTTTCCACACCCAGAAAAAGGCTATCTAGGTAAGTAAGAGTGCTTATTTTCTTTCAGATCAATTGAAAGACCATTGTGGAGTATCTAGGGTATTGTGCCAGCCCCACACCCTCTTCCCCAGCCTCAGGGGGCAGAAAAGAAATCCTATATGGAGGAGCTCACAGAAAGAGATGAAGTCTGAGTTAGGTTAGAAAACAGTTACTAGGGGCTGGCAAGTGCAAGGGCCTGAGTTCAATCACCAGTTCCACCAAAAAAAAAAAGAAAAAGAAAGAAAGAAAACAGTTACCTGAGTTAGGGCCATTGGTGCCTTTTTTGGACTTAGGCCACTGGCTTTTTTTCTCCTTGTCACAGACTTTTTTGAGGACATGCACACTTGCATGTGTGCACACACACACCATGACTTTGAAATGTAGGCACGCTGCTTTTTCTTTTATTAATCAAGCAAACATTCCTTAAATACTCATGGTACAGAGAAAGTCTGAAGCCAGGCGGACAGCTGGGGCCTGTTCCCAGGACACTTACATTTTACTGGAGACTCACGGGAGAGGTAACCAAATAAAGTAAAGACCAGCGGGTTGCTGTCAGGGCCAGAAAAGAAACTAAGGTCCATGGCAAAAAAGAAAGCTGCAGGGGAGGAAGTCCTAGAGAGGGGACCTGCAGGAAGTGACACTGAAGCTGAAACAGTGGGACAAACAGCCTGCAAGCCAAAGGGTGGAGCGCTGGCCACTGGGGCTGCTCGATGCAGCGGAGGCTGGAGGCCAGGAGGCTGCAGGGAGTGAAGAGGGAGGAGCTGAGAGAGGCCAAGCAAGGCTGGGGCCAGCTTGCAAGCTCTCAGAGCATCTGACATTCGCTGTTCGCAGTCAGCAGCTGCAGGAGAGTCTTGGGGAAGCAAGTGGCTGATTTTCATGATTCCTTAGCCGGCTACAGGAGAGGAGAGGGAGCTGGGAGCAGTGAGCACAACAGGGAGAAGGCCGCTGTGGCAGGACCCACTGAGGGGGTGACTCGGTGCTTCCTGTACGCCCATCCTTTGGCTCAGGCCCTGGGGCACATCATCCTGAGCATTGTGGCTCGGGGGCAGCAGGGCTCCATTTTCCTTGCCCCAATGCGATGGCTAAGCCAAGTATCAGAAGGTTTTCCTGAAGCATGCGTGTATGTGTATTTAGGGTCTCCTAAGAAAACATTTTCAAAGTCACGGCATGTGTGTGTGTGTGTGTGTGTGTGTGTGTTTATAAAATAAAGCACAAGATATCAAAGAGATTTTTCATTCCTCTGTGCAGCTTGGTGTGTGCTGCAAGGTCTCCTGTAAGTCGGGATATTTGGGAGGAAAAATGTAAGAAATGCTGACATCATGGAAACCACTTGGGTCCTGGGACAGCCCAACCCAAGTTCAAACATAGCTTCTGGGGGCTGGGGAGATGGCTTAGTGGAATAAGTGCTTCCCTGGCAAGTGCAAGGGTCTGAGTACAATCCCCAGTTCCGCAAAAATCAAACAAACAAACATAACTTCTGCCACCAACTAGTTGTGTAAACATGAGCAAATTGGTCTCTCTGCTTTCTCCCCCTTTTTACTTTTGTGGAAGGGGGGATTGAACTCAGGCCCTCACACTTGCCCAGCAAGCACTTATTCTACTGAGCCATCTCCCTGGCCCACTTCCTCCTCTTTAAACTGGAGGGTAAGAAGAAAAACAAACACAAAATGAACAGGGAAGGGCCCAGGGAGAGTGGAGTAAGCGCCAACATGCGGCCTGCGTCTGTCCCTGTCTGCCTGTGTCCTGGGAGGTCATTTGAGTTCTGGGAGCCTCTGTCTCTTTCCTTGGAAAAGGGGATATAAGTGTGCTACTGCGGCGGCAGTCAGGTTTACTGTGCGCGGCCAGTAAAATGATGCAGGGACACAGAGCACCTCACACAGGGCCCCAGCGGTGTGGGTGTGCGGTAAAGGTGCTTTGTCTGTTTCCCCATCTGTGAATGAAGCGTTGGCGCCCTCCTCAAGTTTGCGATTCTAAAGTGAGGTCTGAGGCCCTGGGAGTGAGCCTGCCTGAGGCCCGGGATCTGGGCTCCCCTCTCACCTTCCTGGCACCCCCCCCAGCCTCCTTTCCTCAGTGCTCCGTGGTGGGGAGTGGGGAGCAGGGAGACTGTTGGGAGCCTTGCTTGACTCCAAGGTGCTCCTCGTTGCCCTCCAGATTCGGAACCCAGCCAGCCTAGCCTCTCCTCCTCTTTCCAAAACAGTTCCTGGCTCAGGTGCCCGACTTCTCTGGGGATGCAGAGACCTCACAGCGCCCCGCTCTGAGAAAGCCCTTCCTCCCCGCGCTTTCCAGGGCTTCGCCCCTCTCCACTCCGGCTGGGACCACGATGTCCCTTTCTGGGCCACAGCGGCTCAGTGAGGCCTAGGGTGCGGCTCAGTGGTAGAGCACTAGCCTAGCGTGACAAGCCCCGGGGTTCCAGCCCCAGCGCTGCAAAGAAGAAATGCCAGGATTTGTTACAAAGAGCGGAGGGGAGCGGAGGCAGGGCTGACCCCTCCCTTTCGCCTGGCTTTCTCCTTCTTGCTAGCTGAGATCTTCGCAGGATTGTCTCTGCCTCCCACCTGCTTCCTTCTTCACCCTCCGCTTCACTCTCTCCTGCACTGAAAATTCACTTCCTACTGTGGGAGGCCCTATGCGATGCCAACCGATTTCACCTTCCAAGAAGGAAAGGGAACGAGCCGGTGATCCCAGGGCCTGGGGACTGTGTGGATCACAGCTTTCTCCAAGCACCTCCATTCTCCTACCACCGCCATGACATTTGCCAGACCACCTGCCACCTCCTCTGTCACATATGCAGCCTACTGTGACCAAGTATAACACTAGAAATACAATGAAATGCAATGAACTTTAAATTCCTGGCCCGCGCGCGCGCACACACACACACACACCCCAACAACTTTACTCTTGCTCTCTCTGCCCTTTTATGAGATTTAGTCAGTGAGGAGCCTCCCCGTGGAGCTCTCCACCCTCAGGTCACACACACGCAGTCTCCATTCAGGGGAGCACACGCTCCTTCCCATCCCCGCCCTTGCTCAGCTCCCCTCTCTGCAGGCTGAAGGGCTGCTGTTCCACATCTCTGGCCTAGCAAGCAGAGAGCTGCCTATCTCATGGAGCTTCACCCACAGGGGCTGGGCCTGTGACGCGGCCAGTACACGTTTGTTGTTCTACGGCAAGTCCAGGCTTCCCTCGGCTGTGGCCTTGTGGTGTCCACCTCTCCTGGTTAACATTATCAGGGTCACTCAGCTTCCATCAGGATCCCTTCGGCCCAGGCGAGTCCTGCTGCCAGAGGTCTCATACCTTCCATGTCCCCTGGCAGGGTTAGACGTAGTCGGCCCCTTCCACTCCCAGCAGCGACACACGCTCTTACTCCTTCTGCCCAGGGAAGCTACGCCGTCTCCCACCTAACTTCCTCCTGCGAGCCTCAGGCACAGGCCCATTGTCCCTCCTGGCTCCCAATGACATGGTCCACTGCCCTGTCTACATTTTTAAACTCTTGGTCTGAAAAGTCTGAGAGCAATGGAACAGGCTCTCAACGGAGCCTCTGCAAATTCAGCCCTGTAGGCTGACCTCTCCTCTTGACAAGAAGCACCTCGGGGGCCTCAGGCAGTGTCAACGCCCTCTGACAGTCACCCACCAAGTCATCTCTGCAACTCTCCAGGCGACCAGACACCCAGCACTCTGTGTCCCTCCATCCACATCTTTCTTTACATAGTGCCGCAGGCTTCTCTCGTCCCTAGTACGGCCTTGAGCCTGACTCCATGCTCCCCTCCAGGGTTGCCAGGGTCTCCTGTGTGCTCATGGGATGTGCCCAAGACTCTGTGAGAATGGATAGACATGCATGATGTGTAGTCCCCTATGCCTTGTACTCAGAGTGGGTTAAAGCATCAAAGGAGGCTCCATGGGGGACTGGGAAGCATACCTGGTGGAATACCACCTGCACCTGTGGTGGCCTGCCTTCCCTGACCATCGCCATGACAACAGGGGGCCTCACCATTGCCATCCCACCATCCCACTTGTCACCATGCCACATCCCCCATCCCACATCCCACCATCCCCCATCCCACATCCCACCATCCCCCATCCCACATCCCACCATCCCACATCCCACCATCCCACATCCCATATCCCACCATCCCACATCCCACCATCCCACCGCCCCACCAACCCACCACCGCACCATCCCACCACTCCACATCCCACATCCCACATCCCACCATCCCACATCCCACATCCCACATCGCACATCCCACCATTCCACATCCCACCACCCCACCATCCCACATCCCACATCCCACCATCCCACCATCCCACATCCCACATCCCACATCCCACCACCCCACCAACCCACCACCACACCATTCCACCACTCCACATCCCACATCCCACCATCCCACCATCCCACATCCCACCCTCCCACATCCCACATCCCACCCTCCCACATCCCACCACCCCACCTCCCCACCACCCCACCATCCCACCATCCCACACATCCCACCACCCCACCATCCCACCATCCCACATCCCATCATCCCACATCCCACCATCCCACATCCCACATCCCACCATCCCACATCCCATCATCCCACATCCCACCATCCCACATCCCACCATCCCACATCCCACATCCCATATCCTACCATCCCACATCCCACATCCCACATCCCACATCCCACATCCCACCATCCCATATCCCACATTCCACATCCCACATCCCACCATCCCACATCTTATATCCCACCATCCCACATCCCACATCCCACCATCCCATATCCCACATCCCACATCCCACAACCCCACCACCCCACCATCCCACATCCCATATCCCATAACCCACCATCCCACCATCCCACATCCCACATCCCACCATCCCACATCCCACATCCCACCATCCCATATCCCACATCCCACATCCCACATCCCACACTCCACCACCCCACCATCCCACATCCCACATCCCACCATCCCACATCACACCCTCACCAACACAGGCTGCCTTCTCTGCTCCCTGGCTCTGACTGCTACAGGCAGCTTATCCACATAGAATCCTGAAAGACCTTTCCTTCTGGGAATGGCTTATTTCACTTAGCACAGTGTCTTCCAGGTTCACTCGTGGTGTTACGAATGGCAGGGCTTCCTTTTCCAGGCTAAGTAATATTCCACTATTGGTATCTACCAGATTTTCCTTATCTGTCCATCAGTGAGCAAGGAATACTTCTCTTGCACCATTTCCTGACTGTTACAAAGAATGCTGCACTGAGCACGGCAGTGTTGGTATCTCCTCAAGATTCTGATTTGGACTCTGCATCAGATGACCATTCTATTCTTAAATTTTTGAGGAATTTCAACAGTATCTTCCACAGCGGCTGTACCATTTTACAGTCCTACCTTTCTCTTCTTTTTCTTAATATGAGGTGAAATTTCATCTTATGCTTTATGTGAGGCACCTGAGTCTCAATACTTCTATGTTTTTCTTTTTAAATTAAATGTATTGATATTATTAAATTAAAATCAGCCTAAAGCTACCCCTACACCTTGGATTCCCTATGACATTGCAACCTGACTTAATATGTAAACAAAATGCAACCTAAAAGTGTATGCTTGCAACAAACAGCTGAGCACCAGCCAATCACAGCTGAGCTTCCACCCAATCACAAGCTGCTGACAGCCAGGCCACACCCATGGCAGGCGTAGGCTGACACACCTGCCCCAGTAAGCCAAACTCCCAGTGGCAACCAACCAACACGCTTCTGCATCCATAAATCTTTTCTTTTTCCTTTCTTTCTTTCTCTTTAGGCACAGCCTTGCTGTGTAGTTCAGGCCAGTCTTGAACTCACTATATGACTTAGGCTGGCCTCGAACTCACAGCAATCATCCTGCCTCAGCCTCCTAAGTGCTAGGATTACAGAAGTGTGCCGCCACATGCCACTGTAAATACTTTCTGCCACAGCTAGGAGGAGCTTTTTATATCTCACTTGGTTCTCTTTCTTTCTCTTTCCTTTTTTGGTACTGGACATCGAACTCAGGCCCTTGAGCTTGCCTGGCAGGCACTTGTGCCACTGAGCCATCTCCCCAGCCCTCTCTCTTGGTTCTCACTGCCTTCTTTATGAATTGTTATCTGCTATAATAAACTCTGCTAAATTAAAAAAACGTACTTTCCATCCAAGTTTTCCATCCCTTTCCTTGCTTTTTGCCCCTTCTGTGCATATACTGTACTTACATCCTAAATGTTCTATGGGTAAATATTTACTGTCTTTCTAAGCACTAAAATGTGAAGTCCAACAGGGGCTTTTGGCTCCATGCTTCACAGTGCAGTTCTCAAAAGACTACGCCTAGTGCTCAATAGGTCCCTAATAAGCACGGGGTGGGTGGGGGACCCTGCTGCACATGTGTGTGCAATTTGATAGGGACATTACAGCAGAGGTACGGAGACAGAAGGCACACACTATCCCCAAGCTGAGGTCTGGCCCCTGCTTTAACTGGGACTGAACAAATTGGAAAGCAAGTAGCTTCGTTACTACATGACGCAACTACGTGGTTTTTAGGAATGGGAAAGAATTACTGAGAGAAGACACACCAGAGAGGGAGTGTGTGGCTAGAAGGGATTAGGCAGCACATCTGGGAGCTGGGAAGGGCAGTGTGAACAGCTCCCGAGAGTCAGATGGCCCCAGGGGTTGCCCTGCAGCTGCATGTATATTTATTTACTTATTTGATACAGGATCTGGCTACACAGTTCAGATTCATAGTGATCTCCCTGTCTTAGCCTCCCCAGCACTGAGATTACAAGCTCGTACTCCACCATGCTGGGTTTCAGTGGCAGATGTGGCATGCCTGGCTTTCTGGGGCCAGCATGGCATGCAGTACCGGGGATAGGACTCAAGTCCTTGTGCTTGCCAGGCAGGTGTCTAGACTGCGGAGTTATCTCCCCAGCCCCACAACTGCTTTTATGTATTTGGCACAGGGTCTCACTACGCAGCCCGGAATCGTAGTGATCCTCCTGTCTTCAAGTCACTCCCCCACCCCCATGCTGGGATTACAGGTTTGTGCACCACGCACAGTCTCTTTGGCCAGCTCAATGCATGGGGGGTGGGGGGGACCGGTGCTGCATGTGGTACTGGAGATTGAACCTAGTCCCTGCTCTTGCCTAAGCAGATGCTCACCGGCCCTGTAGCTGCTGAAGCAGTACCTGGTTAGCCCCTGGCCAATCAATGGCTTCTCTATGGCACTTACCTAAAGAAGCCCTCTGAGGACAAGAAAAGGCAAATGCTCGCTCCGAGGTACACCTCTGTTGGACATCGGTGCCACAGCTGTGGCAGACCCTGAGCAACTAGGAGGGATGTGGGGTCAGCCCACTTCCCAGCCTGCCTTCCCACAGGCAGCCCCAAAGCACACATAATTCCCAGTCCTAGATGCAAAGCAGCCTTGGAAGCGAAGGAAGGTTTACTGCCCAGGGAGGAGATGTGAGCTCAACATTTAAGCAATGTCCCTGTCCTGTTGCCAGCATCACAGCTACCCACCAGTACCATCGTGCTCTGATTAGGTAGCCACATGTGCCACCACTTCCCACCCCAACCATCTGTTTCTTATGTTCTTCTTTAGCAATACCAGGGATCAAACCCAGGGCCTCAGGCTCGCTACAGGCATGAGCTCTACCACTGAGTCATACCTCCAGACCCATTCAGTAAGCCCTCCAGGTAGATCTGATGTGCAATCAAGTTTGGGAGCCACTGCTCTAGTACAGGTGCCTGTTGTTCAGAGGATCAGAGAGGAGAAAAGACTAGCTTGAGGTCACAAGTCAAGTTACCACTTCCGGGCTCAACCCCGTGGCCGGAAGTCATGCCTGGAATGACTGATCTAGTTTCATTCTAGAGGGAAAGGATGTCGAATGAAAAGAACAGAGACGATGTGTTGAGCAGGCTTAAGCAAGTCACTTATTTCTGCGCAGAGCCTCAGTTCCACGCACAGTGCAAGGGCAGGGGCGAGATCCTCTCTGGGTGCAGAACACACAGGTCTCAGAGACACTATGCTCCCGCTACCACCAGCCTTGAGGACACCACCCAGCCTGGGACCTGGATCACACCCCCAGCCCTGCCCCTGCTGACCACATGATGGGCACCATTGCTCACCTTCTGGCGTCACCATGCCTGGCCTGCCTGTGTCACGCAGGGCTGCTGTAAAGAAGGAGCAGAGTTGGGCGAGGTCTTAGTGTGTGCCTCTCGAGCCTGCCAGTGTCACTCAGATGCCCTCCCTGCCACACTGCTTCCTCCCTCTGTCTTCAAACCCAGGTCCTGAGGCACGCTGAGAAGCAGCCCAGGTGCAGATCCTCGCCTATCACTCAATGTTTCCATCCTGTAGCTTTCATTCACACCATAGGACAGATGAAAACCGCAGATCACGACTCTCATCCAGAGCTCCTCAGGTCATCATCCCAGGACAGTGAGCGCCGTATCCATTTCTGCCACTTGAGAAGGTGACAGTCTAGTGATGAGTGTCACTCCCCCAGGGTGTCCTCTGGGCACATGACTCAGCTCATCCTAATACCTCAAGCTGGGATAGCCCATGTCAGGCTGTCTGTATCACATGGGAAAGCGCAGGGGACAGAAACACAGTGAAGGGCTGGGAGATAGATGGCAGGCTAAGGGCCTGCCTGGCAAGTGCAAGGACCCAGGTTCCATCCCTGGTACCACATGCCATTCAGGCTCTGGAACCTAGAGCACGCCCTGATGCCACCAAGCCTGGGCATGGTGATGCACACCTGTAAGCCCAGCACTGGGGAGACTGAGACAGGAGGATCACTATGAGTCAGAGAAGCATAGTAAGACCCTGTACCAGATAGACAGACAGACAGAGACAGATAGATAGAAAAAGAGGCACAATGAAGCTTCCCCAGCTGCAGCTCTCTCCTCCTCTGCCTTCCTCCTCCCCCTCCTCCCCCTCCTCCCTTCTCCCCTTCCTTTCCCCTCTCCTCCAAATGCCCTGAGACTGTTCAGCAGGCCAGCGCCATGGTCACACTCACCTGCCGCAGCTCTTTCACTCCCACAGGTGCCCACGATGATCCCCTGGGTGCTCCTGGCATGCGCCCTCCCCTGTGCTGCCGACCCGCTGCTTGCTGCCTTCACCCGCAGAGACTCCCAGAAGGGTGCCCCTCAACTTGTCTGCAGCCTGCCTGGTCCCCAGGGCCCCCCAGGCCCCCCAGGAGCCCCAGGGCCCTCAGGAACAGTAGGAAGAATGGGCTTTCCAGGCAAAGACGGCCAGGATGGCCAGGATGGGGACCGGGGTGATAGCGGCGAGGAAGGTAAGAGGCCACTTCCCCGCTCCTATCATTATTCCCTTTATTACATTACTGGTTCTTTTGGGGGGGGTGGTACTAGGGATTGAACTCAGGACCTTGAGCTTGCCAGGCTGGCACTTATGCCACTGAGCTATATTCCCAGCCCTATGATTCTTTATAAACAGGACAATATATTCCAAAAGGAACCAAGGGCATCAAATCTCATGTTCCTGCCTCTGCTGTACCTCTGAATTCTAAGCGAAGTTTTGCAAATCTCCGGAAATATATTTCAAAACTCCTGTGGATACAAGTGACAGAAGCCCAATTTACAACCTAAAATGGACTTTATTGGAACAGAGACAAATCCAGGAGCTTCAGTATCATTGTCAGGGGCTGGGGATATAGCTCAGTGGCACAACGCCTGCCTTCCAAGCACAAGGTTCTGAGTTCGGTTCCTAGTACCAAAAGAACCCAACTGTTTGGGGTTCTGCTCTCTTTGTGTTTGCTTTAACCTCTCAGAGGCTGGGGATTCTTAAATGGCAACATGTGGGTTCAAGACCTCACGGCTTTATCTGCCCTGAACTTCCCTGGAGAACTGACCCTCCTGGGCCTCACTGATATCCTAGGAACAGAGAGCCTCTTGATGCTGAGCTGTGAAAGGCTCACGTCAACAACTTCTGCGGATAACCCACTACTATTGTGGCCTGCTAGACTATGTTGACTATGTTGGATTGTTTTGCTGAATTCACGCGCCTATAGTATTTAGATGCCAATGGAATACCCATTTCTGACAGGATTAAACAAAAAAAGGAAATACAAAGGAAGGACCATTTTGTATCTGTATATTCAATATAGTTAGGATAGATATACAGCTATTTTCTCTTAATTCAATGAGAAAAAGATTTGTACTGATAGTGTTTGGACAGGATATCATGTCTGAATCTTGTACTGTGGATAATCACTAAGAAGATAACAATATACAATGTATTAATTACTGAAACTGTCCTATTAATCAGCTTTGAAACTGTCTCATCGATATTTGTTTCTCAATAAAATTAAAAAAAAAAAAAAAAAAAAAACAGAGAGCCTCTTGATTCTCGAGAGGAAGGCCACCACTGCCAGAGGTGGGACATGTGCCACCCCTGGGTTTCTGTGAGTGGTGATGATTGGGTTGGCCATTGTGACCAACAGTCCCACTGGGATCCCCTCAGGTAGAACTGTAGTTCCCCAAGCAAGGGTGCTAGGCTGGTTATAAACAGGTTGAACACTGTCTGTAGGCCATTTCAGCTTTACATTCCTCATATTTCTAAATGATTACCCAGAATTTTAGTATTAACATTCTCTAATCAATAGGAAAATTCAGTATTAAATATGGTGCTGAGGATCGAACCTAGGACCTAACACGAACATGCTAAGCACAGGCTCTAGCCCTGAGCCGCACCTTGGCCCTCAAAGCACCTCTCCTTTGCACGATGTTATGACGGTGAAGAAGCCCTTGTGAGTAAGTTCCTCTTCTGACTGCTAGTGCCACCCTTCAAGGAGACATTTTTACCAGCCCACATCCCAGATGAGGTCGGGTGAGCAGAGCAGCAGGTCAGAGCTGCCAGCACTTGGACTTTGGGGGCAAACTTGGATACTCATTTTGGCAAAGGCCTTAGCCTCCTCAAACCTCAGCTTCCTCACCTTCAGCAGGGATAACAACAGCATCCCTCCGCCTCGCTGGGTGGCAGCAAGACGAAGCAGAACACCAAGAGAAATGTGTCTCCGAGTGGGCGCGCAGTATCTGTTAGCGCCCCCTCCTAGTCGATTGCCTAGACTTCCATAGTCTGGGAGCAGGCTCAGATCCAGCACTTCCATCCACACCAAGCTAACGCTCCCAGTGCCTGCTTCCCAGGAAAGAGAGAGTGCAAACAGGGGCTTGCACTCAGGCTCTTGCCCCAGCCAGGCAGGCGCTTCCCGTCGCGGTGCTCCATTCCCACCCAGGAGGTGGACTCAGGTCCAGATGGTGCCTCAGCTGGCCAGCTACCACCTCCCTGAGATGAGCTTGTCTTCGGCTCCTCCAGGAGGGCGCCTGCTGTGATGGGGAGTGAGGAGGGTGAAGGCGGCTGCTTCGGGCCATCTCTCCCGACACCCACAGCATGAGTCCCCACTGAGGACTGCACGTTGGGAGGGAGACAGAGGCAGAGTCCTGACATGCACAACCCACAGGAAGTTGGGGGCATGGCTGGCCACCCTTCTGCCCCACAGCAAATCCATCTGAAGCAAGGTCTTGAAAAGTAAATTCAGTGTGTCCTGGAGATTCCTAAAAAGGGAATCAAGAAGAAAGCATAAGCTAGGCATGGGGGCCGGGGAGATGGCTCAGTGGAATAAGCGCTTCCCTGGCAAGCGCAAGGGCCTAAATTCGATCCCCGGTTCCACCCAAAAAATAAATAAATAAAAGCTAGGCATGGGTGGCACACTCCCTCAAGAGGCTGAGGCAGGAGGATCACCATTTTTGACGCCAGCCTGAGCTATACAGCAATACTTTGTTTAAAAAAAAAAAAAAAAGCTGGGCATGATGGTACACAGCTGTAATCCAAGCACTTGGAAAGCTGAGACTGGAGATTCACCATGAGTTTGAGTCTAGCCTAGCTACAAAGTGAGTTTGAGGCCAGACTGAACTGCAGAGAAAAACCCTGTCTCAAAGAAAAGAAAAGAGAGAGAGAGAGAGAGAGAGAGAGAGAGAGAGAGAGAGAGAGAGAGAGCGAGCGCTGGGTGTAGTAGTGCATGCCTATAATTCTAGCACTTGGGAGGCTGAGGCAGGAGGGTCACAGCAACTTCAAGACCAGCTTGTCTAAATAGTGACTTCAAGGCCAGCCTGAACTACATAGTAAAACTCTGTCTCTAAATGAATGAATGAATCAATCAATCAACCCATCAATCAATCAATCTGTTTTTTGGGTTTGTTTGTTTGTTTTTTAAAGGAGTCCCAGTAGACAAATCATGGTTGACCTTCCTGGTAAGGTTCCTTATCTCCTTGTCTCCTGGGAAAACACGCAAGCCAAAATGATCATCTCTACTGTCCCTCCGCTCTAGGCTCCTTCTCCCACCTTGTTTCTTTTCACCTTATCAAGGACCAGCTTTGTGATTTTCTTGATTTTATTTTTTTATTCTTGTTTTTCTGTCTTCCCCTTTCTAGTGCTGGAGATTGAACTAAGGCCTCACACACAGGCAGAACATCTACTCCTGAACTACAACTCAAGCCCCCTTCTTTATTTATTTATTTAGTTAGTTAGTTTTACTTTTGGATTGGTTTTGCTTTATTTTGTTTTTTAAGACAGAGTCTCGCTATGTAGCCCAGGCTGACCTCAGATGCACAGTGATCCTCCTGTCTCAGCCTCCTGAGTGCTGGAATTACAGGTATGCATCACTATACCCAGCCATTTTTGGTTTTTTGAGGCAGGGTCTTGCTCTGTAGTCTCAGTTGGCCTTGTACTTGCGATCTTCCTGCCTCAGCCTCCTGAGTGCTAGATTATAGGCGGCACACCACATCTGGGCTTCTTCTCAGTGGTACAACTAAAACAAAAACACAGTCTCACTACGTTACATTCAAACAACACAAAGTCCTGCTTAGTCACTATTGCCTCACACCCTCCGCCTCCTTAGGCTGCCCATTGGCAGGTGTCTGTCCTTCCTGGCCGCTGTTTGGGGATTCAGTCATACCATGTGCATTATTTTAGGTGTCTAATAATACCAGACATCGGGCACTTGATATAAGCAGTCTGTTCCTCAAAACTGGATTTTCACCAAGAAAATGTTACTTGGAAATCCACTTCCCAATTATTATTCAAAACAGAAAAACACATTACACGTTCACTCTGAACTCTAAAACATGGAGAGATGTCTACCTATGTGCATGGGACAAAGTACCTTGTCAGATGTAAAATGCCTAAAATCTGTCCTTCTTGATCTTGTCTCAGTTATTTTCTCGTTGCTGGGCACAACACCTAACGCGCACGAACTGAAGGAGAAGCTGACTTTGCCTCCTGGGTTAGTTGACTCCTGCCCGCTGTTACAGTCCACGGCTGGCTCCAAGGCACACAGCTGCTGAAGGAAGCGGGTCCCAGCCCAGGGGGCGGAGCCGGGGGAGGAGCCTGGAGGCCACGCCCCCACGCCTTGCCACGCAGCTAGGTGCTCCCCTGGGGATTAACCCGCTGAGGAGCATCGCACCCCAAGATCCAGTCACCTTCCAGGAGCCCCACTTCTGAACACGTGAGGCTCCGGGGCACCAGCTAGACCTAAACCATAACCACCTGGCAGTTCGTGTGGTGGTCACAGGGCCTGCGATCCAGGGAGGTGCGGCCCCACAGCAGCTGCCTTTGGAAGCAGGCCCGGTCGACGCTCAGCGGGCTTCCAGACCCATGTTCACATGCAGCTCAAATTTTTATTCATTTTTTAAAAACATGTTGTGTCAAATAATCATAAAAATGTTTCCAGTATACTCACTGGCCAAAAATGTTGTATTGCAAGAAATGTATGTTGTTGGTTTTTTTAAAATAATTTTATTGAGAAACAAATAGCAATGTGACAGTTTCAAAATCGATTAGCAGAACAGTTTCAATAATTAATATGTTGCATTTTATTGTCTTAGTAGTTATTCATTGTACAAGATGCAGACATGATATCCTGTCTGCAAACACTGTTAGAACAAATCTTTCTATTCACTGAATTAAAAGAAAGTAGCTGTTTATTCATCCTAACTATTTTGAATATACAGATACAAAATGGTCACTCATTTGTATCACCTTATCAGATACAAAAGCTACACTTCTTGTTATATAGGTCTTGCTTTATCTTGGTCTTCACTATTCAGCAGAAAAGTATAAAAACGAAGTATAAAAAGTAAAGCCATATTAATATGCTGAGCTGTAAAAGGCTCAAGTCAACAACTTCTGACATTGCCAGTCTTATGGAAAACCCACTACTATTGTGGACTACTGGACTGTATTGGATTATTTTGCTGAATTCACGCACCTACAATATTTAAATGACAATGGAATACCCTTCTCTGACAAAACTAAGCCAAAAAAAGAGAAGCTTTTTTTGTGAAGTGTTAATATTAAAAAACCAAGCGGCATCCTGTAGGAAATCATGACTGGGGAAAATGTCCTACAGGGAGCGCCAGCCCATAGCTAGCGAGTATTTCCCCTAATCCAGGCACCATCCTGCGTACTCAATGTTTTTCAGGGGTTTTTTGTTTGTTTGTTTTGTTTTGTCTTAGCAAGACAGGGTTTCATTATGCAGTTCAGGCTGCCCTTGAACTCACTTTGTAGCCCAGGCTGGCCTCAAACTCAAAGCGATCCTTCTGCCTTGGCCTCCCAAGTGATGAGATTACAGGCCTGTACCACCACACCTAGCTGACTAAATGCATATTAAAGCATTTAGCATTGTGGTTTCCCTTTTAAGATGAAAGATGCTGCCACTAGGCCTTGCCTCTTAGCATAATTAAGAGATGGCTTCATATAAGACATATAAATATAACTCAGCATTTAAACATCTATATAAATTCTACAGTATAGATGGCCATAACTTTCTGGTCATTTCCTTTTGGATGGGGCGTTTGTTTCTATTTTTTTCGGCTATTATAAGCAATACTACAAGACAACCTTCATACGTGTGGACAGCGCCCTGTACTCTCGGCAGGAATCTTAAGTCAGTGTTTTGAAGCCAAGAGGTTTCTTGCAGTTACCTGCTCGGCCCACTGCCGGAAGAGCCCACAGGAGAGTTGATCTAGCAGACAAGCCAAGCCCTTCTCCAGGGGCAGGAAAAGGAAGAATATGAATTGCTGAGTTGCTCTTTTTACCCTGACCCACAGTGGTTCTAGAAAGCAATACCATCAGACCACAAAAGTCCCCCAGGTTTCCAGGATTGGATTTGCCCCACTGCTAGTTCTCCATGTTCTCTCTCTCTCTCTCTCTCTCTCTCTCTCTCTCTCTCTCTCTCTCTCTCTCTCTCTCTCTCTCTCTCTCTCTCCCTGCTCTCCCCCAGTCTTGCTAAGCTGACTACACCTGGGATCGATCATGGGCATGTGCCACCCTCCCAGCTAAGATCTGCTTCATTCCGTACTACCCCACAACAATCGTGTTCTTCCCATTTCCTGAGAGCTCCTACTGCAAAGGGAAAAGCCACGGCCCCCAGCTTCTGCCTGGGCCCATAACAGACCCTCCATAACACTTACTTCTCTGTCTTCCAGGTCCACCTGGCCGGACAGGTAACCGCGGAAAGCAAGGACCAAAGGGCAAAGCTGGGGCCATCGGGCTGGCTGGCCCTCGTGGCCCCAAGGGGGTCAGTGGTACCCCTGGGAAGCACGGCACACCAGGCAAGAAAGGGCCCAAGGGCAAGAAGGGGGAACCAGGCCTGCCGGGCCCCTGCAGCTGTGGCAGTGGCCGGCCCAAGTCAGCTTTCTCAGTGGCGGTGACCAAGAGCTACCCTCGAGAGAGGCTGCCCATCAAATTTGACAAGATTCTGATGAACGAGGGTGGCCACTACAACTCATCCAGTGGCAAGTTCATCTGTGGCGTGCCAGGGATCTACTACTTCACTTATGACATCACCCTGGCCAACAAGCACCTGGCCATCGGCCTTGTGCATAACGGCCAGTACCGCATCCGGACCTTCGACGCCAACACCGGCAACCACGATGTGGCCTCGGGCTCCACCATCCTGGCCCTCAAGCAGGGGGATGAGGTCTGGCTGCAGATCTTCTACTCAGAGCAGAATGGGCTCTTCTATGACCCGTACTGGACTGACAGCCTCTTCACGGGCTTCCTCATCTATGCAGACCAGGACAACCCCAATGAGCTATAGACGGGCCGGCGTGCAGCCACTGGGCAGGGACTGGGCTTCCGGACTTGTGCTCACAGAGCAGGATGTCGCTGCGGTTGGGAGTCTTGGAGGCTCCTATCCTCAGGCCAACCTCCTTTGCTGCTTTTTACATTTTTCCCATCATTAAACCTGAGTGTTTTTATTCAACTATTTATCTACTCACTCAGTGTCTTAGTATCCACCACATAGCAGGCATTGGGCCACACCTATCTGCGAGTGACAGCAGTGGGGAGGACAGGTTGTTATCCTCATGGGGCTTACGTTCCAGTGGGACAGACAATTTACAAACAAACAATTAGTGTAACACCAGGGTAGAAAGGACCTGCTGGGGTTAAGAGTTGCAGAAATAACAGGAGACAGGGAAGAGGCTGGCATTAGTGTCAAAATTCATCTTTTTGGGGTTTATCTACATAGCGTCTACAGATTTTAAGAAGACAGTTATGGATGCATATGGATCTGCACACCTCGTGAGCACTGTGTGGCTCAAGAGCCAGCTCCCGTCCTCCTCTCCCAAGGCTCTGTGGCTCTGCCCAGTCCGTATCTGTGCTCCGGCACCTAGGCTGGCGCTGCGCCCCAGAACCCCACTGTAAACTGCCGGCGCACAGCCGAAGCACACCTGCTCCGAGCAGCATCCGCCACCCCTTAGCAGCTCAGCACACTGTAGAATGTCAGCCGCTCAGCCTCGGCCACCGCACAACTGCACATTGAGAGGGAAAAGACTGAGGCTCAAAGGACAGTCACTGCTCACTGCTCACTGTGTCTTGTTTTTCTATCAGCCCTAAAGTTTAAAAAAAAAAAAAATAATAAGTTGAATCATCCTCGGTCTGGTGCCATCTGTATCAAGAGATTTTGTTTATCTATTTTTATACAGGGTCTACAGCGTCTCACTACTAGGTTGGACTCCTAGTGATCCTCCTATTTTCAACCTCCCAAGCACTGGGATTACAGGCACCAGTGGTCGCGCTCAGTCTCAATCGCCATCTCAGGGTGCCCCGGGGGTGGGGCCAGCACAGCACACAGGGGATTGAACCCAGGTCGCTGTGCCTGCGTAAGCAGGTGCTTTAGTCTGTTGAGCTATCTGGCCAGCCCAAGAGATTTATTTTTAAGCTGAGCCCCAAAGCAGGAAGTAGAGTGATTGCAAAGCACTGGGAGGAGGGGCCGCTGGCCAATGAGCTGCAAGTACTGAGGCCTTGCTGTGAGGAGGGCTGGACACATGTGAGGAACTGACAGAAAGCGAGAGGGAGGCAGTGGGGAGAGCCAGGCATGAGGCTGGAAGATCTGGAGCCCAGGGGGGTCCAGAGTTGGTTCTGCTCAAGAGAGCTTGTCAGAGTGCAGGAATGTGCGTGACCTCCAAGCAAGGATCACCTGGCACCCGCTCAGAGCACAGCCAGGTCAGTCACAGCCCTGGGCACTTTAGCTGTAAGTCACCTGCTGGCCTATGTCTCAGTTCATGAGCCAGACCAGGACGTCCGCAGATTCCTGTCACCCACCGCTCTCTACGTCCACAGATTCCTGTCACCCACCACTGTAGCATGGCAGGAATGGAGCCACTACAGATGGGTCTCCCCTGATCCAGGCGTTCCCCAGGCACAGGAATCCGAGGGCCCTCAGGGATGAGGCAGCGCAGTGCAGGGTGGTCCTGGGAGAGCAGCCCAGTGTGCATGCAGTGAGGTCCTTTGATGTTAACTTCCTTCCCACCAGGCTTAGGATGGGTCTGAGAAACCCAGGCAGAAGTTTGGAGCCCAGACACAAATGTGGGTGAGGATCTAGCCCAGAGCCCTGGAGGAAGGCTTCTGCGATACAAACAATTGCTTTGTTACTTTGCTCATAAGCAATTAATATTTCCTTTCTTAAAAAAAATAGGAGGGCTAGGGATATAGCTTAGTGGCACGGCACTTACCTGGCAAGCACAAGGTCCTCAGTTTGATTCCCAATACAAAAAAGGAAAATTAGGAGAACCTTCAGCCATGTCATCTTCGTCCACACCTCCAGATACAGGCTTTTAAAGGTAGCTGACTTAGGCCTTTGTCACTGGCTGACAGATCCAGCTAAGCAAGTGGGGAGCACGCCGGAGCTCTGTGGTTGCCACTTCACAGCCTGCCCCTAAGCCCATGTCTGCTTGGCTTCACACCAAGGAGCCATCGGCCCTGGGGATAGGGGTTACCCAGGGCTCTGCGGGAAGTGGAGTGCGAGGGCTGGAACCTCACAGAGCCGCGCTGGGTAGATGGGGCAGAAGCACAACACGGAGTACAGGGATCCCCAGTGGCCAGGTGAGGGCAGAAATGAGCCCTGGTTCTTCCTGGAATGATTTCCAGGGTGGGTGCTAGCTCAGTGAGCTGCTCTGAGATCTCAGGTCTCTGCAGCGAGGCCCAGACCACAAGGCAGCCCCTGAGGCCTGGCTGGCTCCCGGGGCCTTAGCACCAGGGCCTGTCTGAAGGGCTTCACTTCCGTAAGCACTGGGAAAGGTGCAGCACTCTCTGGGCAGTAAAACTATCTTTAACTCCCAGGTCTTCCTTCACATGGGGCGTGCTCTGAAGGGCTGCGTCCTGTCTGAAGAAGTTCTGCAGAGCCCGAAGTTCTCGTCACTAGAGTGCAAACAGCTCCAGACTCATGCGGCCTGCCTGCCTTCATAGGGTGGACCCTCCTGCACCAGGGGGCCCTGTGCCACCACGGCCAACTTCTGAACCAGAACAAGGACCGCGGGGGGAAGCAAAGATGTTCCACTTACCTCTCAGAAAGCAATGCAAGCACTATTAAATACAATATGTTAAATCCAATGCCTAACTTGATGAAAAATACCAAACTGTTAAGTAAAGAGATTTTACAGGGCTGGGATTACAGGGCAGTGAGGAGGTGGCCTCCTCTTGGTTCTGCCAGGGAGAAACTATTTTCCCCGCCCACCTGTCATCCTCAGTCACACCACTAGGGGGAGCGCGTCCACCACACAAACCTCTAGGCAGGGGCACGTGGCTGCCAGAGCCCCTACGCCTCCCCTAAACTGTTCCCTAGATTGTCTCCCCCAAGCTGTTCCCTAGATTCCCAGCCCAGGACAGAGAAGGAGAGAGCGCTCGGGCCTGCCACGTTACACAGCTGTCCCCTTGCTCTGGGAATGAGAATACAGGCGCTTCACCTCTTCCCAGCTTCCCACTTACAGGAGAAGTGAGCGCTTGTATTCTCATTCAGCGCTGGGAAGCAGCAGGAGTACAGTGGTTGTCCAGGAAACAAGAAATCTGGGTTCCTGTCCGGTTGTGTCTTCAGATCCAGGTGTAGCTTCAGCCGTGTCATTTAATATCTGTGGGTCTCTGTCTGGAAAAGGAAAATTTGGAAGCCATGCTGATGCTAAATATTTATGTTTCTGTCTCTAGAACTGTGGGAGAAAAGAGCCTGAGATTCCTAAAACATGACTTGAAGCAGCTGGATGAGTCTGGCCGGCATGTTCAGAAAGGCTGTGTTACAGGCAGCCAAGATAGACAGAAATATTATAGGCAGTCAGATAGGACCAGGCCCTCCAGGGGACAAGGTGGAAGACGAGGTGACTTTGCAGCTGGGAAGAGGCAGACACTCCCTTATGGGCCACACCTGAAGACTAAAACACGAAAGAGAAATCACAGCTACATACTTCCCTAGGGATGGTCATTAGGAATTGATATCCTAAGGAGATATCAATCACCTTGAAAGAGCCCAAATAAGTCACTAACCCAACGCCCAACAGGAACGCCTGTCCCATATTCATGCCCACTTGCTACATGACTCACTTCCTCATTTGGTCCTGCATTTAATCAATTTTACCTGAGCAATGGTGCTTGTAATCTCATTGGTTGACCAGAGCTTTGTCCCACCTCATGCCCACCTAAGCGAGTTCCCATGTCTTCTCCACCATCTTAGACCCACCTCACCACATGGTTTTCCTCTATAAAAGTCCCTGGAAGAGACAGCTTACCAGGGAACTACCCACTGGGGCACCCCTCTTGTCCCTCTCAGACAGGAGCTTTCTTTCCTTCAATAAATATATTCTGCTCATAACTTCCGTTTGTTCCTAAAATTCATTCTTTGGTTTGAGAGAACACGAACACTTGCAGGTCAGGTCCAGAGATCATTTTTCTGTATGTCATTTGAAGGTTCCCTATATCATTTGGAGGTCATCCATCCAAGATCAGTTTTTCTCCCTGTATCAGCTGGACTTTCACACTGACCCATCCCACATTTCTCTGAGAACTTTTAACAAGCTGCTGTTGCTGGGGTCCTGGCTAGAGTACAAATAAAGGCTACGGGTATTGCACACTAGCCCTGTGTCGAACCTCTCACGTGTGCACACGCTCACTCCACACCACACGAGCAGGGACACAGGCTGCCACCGTCACTGTGCACTGGGGAAATCTCAGTTCTAGAAAGAGGTGAGCCAGGCACGGCTCCCCAGAACTTGAGCCTCAGCCCCTCTGGGAAGCTCAGCCAGGAGCTGAGAAAGCTTGGGTCCAGCCTGGCTAACTCAGTAAGACCCTCTCTTGAAGAACAAGAAGGAAAATTTTAAAAACAAGAGGGGCTGACAGTGTGCCTCAGAGCAATGGCCCTGGGTTCAATCCCTGGTGCAAGCAGGAAGGAAGGAGCAAAGGAGAGAAGAGGAGAGGAGAGGGGAGAAGAGGTGTGGGAAAGGAACTGAAGAGAAGAAGGGGGAAGAGAGAAAAGGGAATGGGAGGGGAGGGAAGGGGGGGAAGAAGAGAGGTCAGTGCCCAAGCCACCCGACTGGTGAACAGCGTGGCTGCACTGCAAGTTGCACTGTCAGCTGCAGAGGCCGCCAGCAGCCTGCAGGTCCATCTGTGAGCAGCAGATGCCCCCACCATCCCATGTCTCCCTGCAGGAGGACAGCTAGGGGAACCAGAACTGCCCTGACTCTGAAGCATTCCTGAACTGGAGGGATTGGCCACAAAATATTTCCCTCCTCCAAAGCTTGCTGCTCACCCTGGCAGGCCCGACCCCGAGGCACTGACTGTGGGGGAACTGGAATGGCCCCGAGGCCCCCAAGCCAGGCCGGCAGATTCACCTGGCACTGCAACCTACCAGGCAGTCAGAGCAGAAGCCCCCAGGGGGCCCCTCCCCATTTTCCACAGCCTGGCCCTTTCACCCGGTCCGCTACTGGATCTGAGCAAGGCCAGCGCAGCAAG